TTACTTAATTACTGCTTATTAGAAGATCAGCTGTTGCAATAAAATCTACGACTCGACTGTCCGTACGTCTTGTTGTACACCATAATCAAGGGCATACCAATTGAAATTGTTATGTAGTTAAGTTTTCAACTTAAACATTTTTATCATTTTTCTACAATCAAATAATGATTAGACGATATTTAAGACGGAAATGAAGAAATATCAAATTGGTAATTGGGTCCTTAGGTCATCAATAATAAATAATAGTACAATTCTATCCGTGTATTATATAGATCATAACCCAGATCAATTCTTTGTGACGGGTTTATTGTAAGCACACAGTAAACTGAGTAACAGCTTGTACCACAGATATTAACTGGGCGAGTCAAGAAGGCTGGTCCAATACAGCCTGTATTCAGGCCACCATCACCAACCTAACCCAACCCTCCACCACCCTAACCCAACCCTCCACCACCCTAACCCAACCCTCCACCATCCTAACCCAACCCTCCACCATCCTAACCTAACCCTCCACCATCCTAACCCAACCCTCCACCACCCTAACCCAACTCTCCACCACCCTAACCCAACCTCCACCACCCTCACCCAACCTCCACCACCCTAACCCAACCCTCCACCACCCTAACCCAACCCTCCACCATCCTAAGTCCTAACCCAACCCTCCACCATCCTAAGTCCTAACCCAACCCTCCACCACCCTAACCCAACCCTCCACCACCCTAACCCAACCCTCCACCACCCTAACCCAACCTCCACCACCCTAACCCAACCTCCACCACCCTAACCCAACCCTCCACCACCCTAACCCAACCCTCCACCATCCTAACCCAACCCTCCACCACCCTAACCCAACCCTCCACCACCCTAACCCAACCCTCCACCACACTAACCCAACCCTCCACCACCCTAACCCAACCCTCCACCATCCTAAGTCCTAACCCAACCCTCCACCATCCTAAGTCCTAACCCAACCCTCCACCACCCTAACCCAACCTTCCACCACCCTAACCCAACCTTCCACCACCCTAACCCAACCTTCCACCACCCTAACCCAACCTCCACCACCCTAACCCAACCCTCCACCACCCTAACCCAACCCTCCACCACCCTAACCCAACCTTCCACCACCCTAACCCAACCCTCCACCACCCTAACCCAACCCTCCACCACCCTAACCCAACCTTCCACCACCCTAACCCAACCCTCCACCACCCTAACCCAACCCTCCACCACCCTAACCCAACCTTCCACCACCCTAACCCAACCTTCCACCACCCTAACCCAACCCTCCACCACCCTAACCCAACCCTCCACCACCCTAACCCAACCCTCCACCACCCTAACCCAACCCTCCACAGTCGACTGGCGACCAGAAGTCACATCTTGGTATATTCACTGTGTTATTTCCACTAATCGAGCAGTTAACTGCATTAATTGTTAAATATATAATTGGTAAATAGTTGGTTTAAATAAAAGCAGGACCGTCTGCAGATACAGTAAACATAAGACCGGTCTAAAATTAGAGTGAATAAGATCTAGATGCTATTATATGTGTGTATAGTGTATAGCTGGCGGGGATCGTCTGCCAAATACCAGGAAATGGTGTATTTTCAATGTTTACATTTTTAGTTCAACAATAGACTGTGTTACTGTCAACTACCTGTGTTGGCTCGCAGCCAGCAAGTTTGTTGTTTAACAAGGCTCACAATAATTTAGATATTGACATGTTGTTGTGAGCATTACATGATAATAAGTTTATGTAAGTTTTTTTAGGATTATTCAAATCATAATTAATTGAACATAAATGAACGTCTCTCAGAAAAAAATACAGATGATAATCTTAAATTAACAAAACTCCCTCCATCACAGCAGTGTGGCGATTAAAGTGTCGTAAGTATTAGTAAAGTACTGATTACTGAATACACTTAAATAATACTTTCAACACTCTTATATAACTTATAATTACTTCTAATAATTACTATATTATAATAGCTAATAATTTGAGTACTTGTTTGATGTCGAACATTGTGCCATAATTAAAGCATCACTATCAGACGCTGCCATTATTACTCGAAACTTCTGTCTCAATAATACTCATATAATATAATAACTTCTGTCCCTACATATATAATATTATAACTGAATATTAGTGGAGAGCTGGAGGTGAATTCTGTTTTGAGAAGTGACGGTTATTCGAGGAGTTTTATTGGTAAATACTGGTCACGTGTGCTGGTCACGTGTCAGAAAATACGGTTCACCTCTCCACCAGAATGGAGATCTTTAAACCCGCCCTATAAACCAGCGTACGTGCCAGATATTATCTGCAACGCGAAGACGTACAAGCCATTTTAAACAGTTCAGTTGTTAACAGCTATTCATATTGGGTGACCCTGTCAGTGCTGTACCCTGCCACGTGACTACCTAGCCGAGGCTTCTGAAAGAGGGCCTGTTTCTTGAGGAGAGTATCCTAACAAGTTATTAACAATTAGTAGAAACTATAATAATAATACGGGCCATGCCATGTTAAACAAATCTCTCCGATAACAGTGTTTGTTATGAGACTATTGTACCGTTTGTGGGTACATACATTACATATGTAAAATATGATAATTTTGTATTATCATTGATTGCCACATGTAACCTTTATCACTGCCATGTGGTGTATAATGTGTGTCCTAAGAAATTAGTAATGTGTTGTAACAAGGCCATTACATGGTGGGACTTCCATCAGGAGTATTATAATTAGTTACATTTCAATCATTAACATTGTGTGATCACAAGTAACCAGTAACCAGTAACCAGTAACCAGTAACCAGTAACCAGTAACCAGTAACCAGTAACCAGTAACCAGTAACCAGTAACCAGTAACCAGTAACCAGTAACCAGTAACCAGTAACCAGTAACCAGTAACCAGTAACCAGTAAAATAAGCTCTAGGATCCATCTAAAAAAGTGAACGTGGCTGTTGTTGGAGCTGAAGTGGGATAGTTTGATGGTGGAGGTGTGATAGTGGTTTAAGACATACTCGCTTGTGGCACACACTTGCTCACTGCTAGTGGCACACACTTGCTCACTGCACAACACATTGTGTTGAATACAACTGAGTGTTTAACAGATCCGTCAATCCAACGCCCACTAGACACTGTCACAATGTAGATACTGTCAGTAGTCCCCGTCTCTTAGCAACTGTAACCAGTAACCAGTAGAGATGGACTAGTGAAATTGGGAATATTATAGTCGGTATAATTACCATAATACCCCCATCAGGAGTCAGTATTAGGGCCGGTATTATGGCTGCTTAACCTGCGTCTTGGATTACGATTCCGCGCTGTCGTGGAGCAGAGGCACATATTAGGTGTGGAGGCTTGTGGAGACACCATCTAGACAGTGCACTGTAAATACTCACACCTCTCATTTTTGAAGCCTTACTATGGGCTAACCTTCCACTTCAACATTTGAACACGTTTAAAACGCTTAAAACGCTTAATGAAGTTGAACGGTTTCACCCCAAACAGTGTGTACGGAAGTAATGTATGAGAAGGAGGTTCTAGCGCTGGAATACTGCACTGGATATTACAATTCATTTACTTAACCTGGTAGTGTTCAGAAGATACTAATTTTTCATACCAACGGTAATAAATATATTGCATTTTATAATGTATTAACAACGTGTTAATTTAACTTCATTCGGCATAATGAGGACAGCGTGAGAACTTGAACATTGTTAAACGCGCAAAACTGTAAGAACATTTACGAGCACGTTATTTAAGAAGAACAGACTTCTATCATCAAGTAACTTGTACGATATCATAGTGTCATCATCAAGTTCTTATATGGGGTTGAGAATCTGCCATTGTTCCAACAATTTAACATAAAGAATGGAGTAGTTATCATGGTGAATACCGTATTAGGTATGATTACTGTCTTTAAAGTTACAAGAGTTCAATTCTGGCTGACTAGACCAATCCATTTAAAAAGGCAACTTTTTACATTTTCTTGCATGAAACGAGGTTTCAATTATTTCCCTTCTAACGAACAGTTGCTTAACTCTCCAAGTGTACTAAGCAAGCAAACCGCAAAAGTAACCGGGACATTACACCACTCATGTAGCAAAGGTATTGATTGGTAAGCAATAAGTAAGACATTCGTTATAATATAATATAATCTCCCTCTCTCCCTCTCTCCCTCTCTCCCTCTCTCCCTCTCTCCCTCTCTCCCTCTCTCCCTCTCTCCCTCTCTCCCTCTCTCCCTCTCTCCCTCTCTCCCTCTCTCCCTCTCTCCCTCTCTCCCTCTCTCCCTCTCTCCCTCTCTCCCTCTCTCCCTCTCTCCCTCTCTCCCTCTCTCCCTCTCTCCCTCTCTCCCTCTCTCCCTCTCTCCCTCTCTCCCTCTCTCCCTCTCTCCCTCTCTCCCTCTCTCCCTCTCTCCCTCTCTCCCTCTCTCCCTCTCTCCCTCTCTCCCTCTCTCCCTCTCTCCCTCTCTCCCTCTCTCCCTCTCTCCCTCTCTCCCTCTCTCCCTCTCTCCCTCTCTCCCTCTCTCCCTCTCTCCCTCTCTCCCTCTCTCCCTCTCTCCCTCTCTCCCTCTCTCTATATCTGCTTGATTACAAGACCCCTGGGGAGATCTTAATCAAGCTACACAACATACATAAGGTATAACACTATATTCAGATTAATTGCTTTCTCGCTCAGTTGGCACAAACACACACGCACACACACACGCACACCCATAAATATCATATATAATATACAATGTTATATACAGTGCTTAGGCGCAGCTTTTAATAAGATTTTAAGATATACAGCTAATACTGTTAAAATAGTGTTAACGTTTTAAAATATATTCGTCACATGCTACCGCACATAATATGTACAAATCAGATAAAATTATGATGAATATTTGAAAGGTATTTTAATGAGACCTCTCTTGATATCTGTATTTAAATAAACCATATATATAATAAATATATCGACACATACCTACTTCTTAGACACGTACAACACGTACCTTGATGGTCTCAAATAGTTTGATAATGTTAGGATGAGAAAGTCTGCGGAGGAGCCTTGCTTCCCGGAACAAGTTCCGCCGCACGTAGTCATCTTTTATGTTGTTCATGTCGATTATCTTTACTGCAACCTATAGCGAGAAGGATGAGAACATGTCAGTAAATAAAATTTGCAGCAACAAGTATTGAATCACTTGCCGGTTAAATTAACTGCCTCAAAACTCAAAGGGCCAAAGAATGTGTTAACGGACAAAATTTACCACTGTATTCCCAGGACCCAACTGATATAATAACTCTGGTCAACGAATATTGAATACTGAGTTACTATCATCATGTTAAGAGTTGGTGCTGTTTTTATTAGAACAACTCCCTACAATGCAGTGAGTGTGGAGCCAATTTTAAATTTTATTTAATAATTATTGAACATTACCATAGTTTCCTGCAATGTTCAGGGGAAAATTAGCAACGCCCATTAAGACTGTAGGGTTTCATTTCCAACACGACTGACAGTGTTTCAAATAAAGCTTAAGAGTTTAGTAAAGTAAGTAAGTAAATTTAAAAGTAAAATTTTATGATTAAGTTAATATCACATTCCTCTAACTCTAGTTAATGGGCGAATATAATACCACGTCAGGGCCATTACCATTTACCAGTGATTTATTTTAAGAAGTTGTGGAGCAAAGCAGGGGTGGAGCTTTTTGAAAAAATGGAGAACATCGACTCTTGTACAAGATCGTGCCAGTTCTAAATAGGTGTACATTGTATGCATACAGGAACATTGAAATAAATGGTAAAGCTCAAAAGTAAGAACCAAGTAAAATAATTTAGTAATTAAATGATTACCTTGTTACTGATGAGGGTGTGAGCAGCCAGCTCAACCCTGGCAAAGTTCCCTTTACCAAGGGTTTTGTTGCACAGAGCATAACGACCGATACACTTTAGAGTCTTAACACCTTCATACTGTCGCTCTTTTGACATAATAGCATAGTGCTCTCTAAACAGAATAAACTCGATTCATTTTCAGTCTGCAAATTGATATTATCAAATGACATTAGTAATAACCAATTAAATATTAATAAGATGCAATAAAATTATATTGTAATTTTTCAATTGATAAGATTTAATCAAATATTCATAAATAAATTAATCACATACAATGAAATGATTTATTATGCGAATCTAATAGATTTTTTGATATTGGTGTTGGAGTAAAATATATCAGATTTGAACGAATACCTTACACAGTTACATAAAACATCATACATAATGTTATAGTGTTTTTATACGTACTACACTATTATAAAACGAATCATTTGAGTATAAATTTGATGTTGCCTGGGGAACTGAATCAAACTGGAGTGTTCTAATACCTGTTTTTATGCAGCAATATGGTTTGCCTCGTTAACTTGAATATTTTATCAATATATATGGGCTGGGGTTGGTGTCAGTGGCGTAACGTTGCCTGTTGGTGCCCCCCTGCCGAAAAAAGCGCCCCCTCCCCTTTTGGTGCCCCTCCCTAAAATTGAACAAATTAGGTGATTTTAAAGAATACGCCGGTAAAATCTCTAAAAAAGTGTGTATCTAGAGCAAAACGCGCAGTTTTGCTAGTACTTTAGTTAAGTTTTCGAAATTGTCCCATATTCAAACAACGATTTGGCGACCCCCTAAGACGGCGCCCCCCTGCACAGCGGGGTCAGCAGGGCCTTTCGTTACGCCACTGGTTGGTGTGTGGGCATCTGGTTTTTGGCTCATGGCTCAGTCATTTTTTATCCAATCCGGATAGATGAAAAATAGATCTAAATATCTACAGGAGCCAAAAGTCAGTGTACAAACATATGGGCTTGTTATAAAAATGTTCATTTTTTCAGATGAAGGTTCATTTGCACATTTTATATTTTTTGTCAGTTTCTAACATGGACAACTTGTCAATTGAACCGAAGCAAAATATACCTTCTGACTAGTGTCCAAAACGGTCTTGTCAGCTACTTAAGGAAGAAATTATTCGCCTTGTGGATAAACATCTCCAGCTGAACCCGAGAAAAAATGCAGGTGAGGGTTGGATGCTAGTAGCAGGTAGACATTGGTGTAAACAACAGAAAGTTCTTTCCTCGGTACTCAAGTCGGAACACTGACATCTGACACCAATGGCTATGACATATCCTTTACAGCCTTTGAAGCAGGAGTGATCAGCAACTGTGACTCTCACTGAGGGTCCCTCAGTGTTCAAACTTTAGTACTTGTAAATGGTCTTAGCTCCAAACTCTCACCAAAGGTGGAACCATCTGCATCCGAGTCAGCGAATATAAAGCTTAGCCACTTCTGCGCTGGGCTTACGAGGAATTTGTTCTGTTCAATGAAACAACAAGTTTTCAATAAAACAATAAGTTTTATTTTACATTCCTTTAATCATAAATAAAATAAGAGCTTAAACCACGAATTAGTTAACTAGAAGTAAACTTGAGGAAATATTCTTTTTATTTTAAAAACTTTATTTGGTTGTTAGTATTTTTATTATGGCAAGTGGTTGAATTTAGGGGAATTTAGTGAGACGAGGTCAGTTTCTCTATTGTCTTAGAAAAATTTCTACTTTACAGTAGTATAGGCAATGCTGAGTGGAAGGAATGAGGGACCAAAACGCTTGGGGCTAACAATGGTCCAGAATTTTAACCCAAATATTTATTGCTATTGTTTTAAGATCGTTTAAAAAAAATTAATTATGTGCAGTCATACAGATAGGTTTGTACTTGGTAATTTTAACGATGAGAACATTTTCACTGACAAGTGTGCATGTTTGCCCATAATTATACGGAGTCATAATTTATCGTGTAACTGCATGGATTCATTATAATTATTATATTTTTTCGAATGATCATTTACTCTAGTAGCAGAGAGGAGTTGAGTGTGCACTTCGATGTCCACAATTTCTGACCACACAGGGTCCTTCATTAGGTCGTTCTAAACCAAAATCATCTAGGTACCCAATTTGTGTCGCTAGTCCTAGTGCTATAGGGCATATTTTCTAAATTGCCCTCAGTCGCGAATGGGGATTTTTGTATTGTGGCCCCTGAAGGTCGTCGAGGCTTTATTTTTAGCTTAAAATGACCGCAATGGGCATGTTTATATACAACTTATGAATCAATATATGGTCTAAAATTGTTTGTTTCCGAGATATCTGCAAAAAACTAATTTTGAGCTCAGGCTTAGGCACAAATTTCAATAATTTGTATCTCAGCTTCTGAAGGTCTTAGAGACTCAAAGTTTAGCTTAGAATGACCGCAATGCACATGTTTATATTGACACTATAAAGGTCATAAAGGCCCAAAATGCTTACTTTTGGGAAAAATCCTGAAAAACTGATTTTTACTGGGGCGAGTGAAAAAAATCTACTCTAGAAGCTAATTGAAATCGAGTATGCAGTTTGGTGTCTACAACTTTTCTAGAAACCAGGTCCTTTGTAAGGTCATTCTGGATCAGAATTGATAAGGTACACAATTTGTATCAGTAGTTCCAACCCTAGGGGGGAAATTTATAATTTACCCTCAGGCGCAAATATATGACTTTTGTATCTCGGCTTCTGAACGTTGTAGGGGCCTCTCTTTTAGCTCACACTAACTGCAAAGGCCACATTTACATACAAGCTATAAAGCAACAAAGGGTTTATAGTGCTAAGTTTTGGAGATATTCATTAAAAACTGTTTTAACTTTCGTGCATCCTGAAATAGTAACATCAAACATGTACTTAATTTTGGTATCCCGGGCTAAAAAAGTCTTACAGACACTTTACTTGCAGCACAGCATACTGTTCAGCATGAACACATTCAGATAATATTTATGAAGCAACACAATTCAGTTTCAGAAGCTCCTTCCATATCCAGCTATCTTATATTATCCCCAAATGTATACGTCTAACCATCTCTCTGGTTACTTCGAACTACCTCAATCCCCAAATTTATACATGAACATCTAATTATCTCGTTATAGCTACCACAAGTTGGGCTCTCTCCAGTACTGTTTGACTATTATGGCTAATCAACTTCAATCCCATCTCATGAAGTAGAATCTACTTTTAGCTATCTTTAATTCTGCTACCTCTATGCCACGCCTATTCTACCCAGCTACCACCAACACGTACTATAATAATTGTAGCTCTTTCTAGCAACCTCTGAATGCTACCTCCTGCTCTATACAGGTTCCATCAGTCAATGAAACAAGAAATTTTTCAATGAAACAAGAAATTTAATTTTTAGCACATTTTACAGAGTAAAGAGATGTAAAACAATTTATAAAAATATAATGCTCATTTGGTGTATGACTTTTTGTCCTTGACTGTTAGTTTGATTTTGAAGGGACAGGCAACTAACGGGGCAGGGAATGTGCGTGCCTGAAAGCTTTTGCACACACCAAAACGCTAGTTCAGTTGAGTTTTTAGAGACAGGGCTCATATGAGGATAAGAAGAAAATTGTTAGCAGACGTTAGGGGTTCTGTTTGTGTTTGTTACTATGGGTTACAGTCTTGTTGTGACAGAAAGTCTACACTATATATATGCCTAAGTTTAAATTGTGTAGTTTGAGGATATAAGATGCAACTTTAAGATGGATATTGGAGAGCTGTTGAAAAATTATGTTCGTTGTATCAATGGTTATAATAAGCTAATATAAATATCTTAAACTATACAGTGCTAATTAAAAATTTCTTTATACTGCATTATCAAATTAAATGTTAAAAATTCAAAAATATACATTCATTTTATTTTATTAAAGACTTTCTCACACATACTTTTCTCACAGAACAAGACTTGGAAAACACTAGACTAGGGGAATTTCGCTGACATGTGTGTGACCAGCAAGTAGTGATCTTTCGAAGACAATATTGTTGCAGTCAAAATCTTTGATTGTCCAATCAAGCGGGGCGTGGCTGTGTTGATTATTTAATAGTGCACGTTTAAGCTTTCCCCGCAAACACATCACACTCATGGTAAAGTCATCCATTCTAATTTTTGGAGTAATCATGTTAAAAATTTTGGTTGATCTTGTATTATGGTTATCAGGTGGGTCAGCCTGACAAATAAGTAGGGTCGGCTTCCTTGTCGAGCATGTGTAGCCTTCATGTAAGGATATTGGACAGAAACCACCAATTCCAACTCTTTTCACCTACTTCGGCTACATCTATTTAGCTACTACTGCAAGGACGCCTGGCCCCTCCAACTTCTGCTCTTTCTAGCAAACTTAACTTAAGCTACCTCTTGCCTTTTTACTTTTATAGCACCACCAGCAACAATTTATTCTGGCTCTTTCCGGCTGACTCAGCTGCATTCACTATTTCCAGCTCATTGAGGAAGAGGAAACCTGCTATTTCTAGCAAATTCTGAATGCAAATTCTAGCCCTATCCAGCAACCTCAGACTTACTCCTACTCTGTTCAGCTATCACCAGCACCTGCAAACTCTAGCACTAATTCCAGCAACCTCAGACTACTTTCTGCTCTATCCAGCTAACACTAGCAAACGGTACCCACAAATTTTAGCTTCTTCTAGCTACTTCGGGCTACATCCATCCTTATTCAGTTGGTTGAGCACTCTCAAATTCTATCTGTTTTTATCTAATTAAGGTTACCTCCAGGCTCCAGCTAGAATTTGAGGGTGCTTGTGCTATCTGGATAGCTGGATATAGCATAAGGTAGGGTGAGTGTGCTGGATAGGGCTAGAATTTGCAGGTGCTAGTGGTAGCTCAACAACAATTAGTGGGTGTTGGTGGACGCTAGATAGAGCAGGAAGTAGCATTCAGAGATTGCTACAAAGAGCTAGAGTGGAAGTAGCAGAATTGAAGGAAACTAGAAGTAGATTCTACTACATGAGGTTGGATTGGAGTTGATTAGCTATAATAGCCAAACAGTACTGGAGACAGTGGAGAGTGGAGAGAGCCCAACTTATGCTAAGACCGGGATCCCGGCTTAATCCCGATCCCTAATCCCGGTCCCGGTCTTAATCCCGGTCCCGGCACTATTTCCCAGTCCCAGTCTCGGCCAAAAAAGCGGT